AAGGGACGGGATGCCCGGGGCCGGATGGTGGTGCAGCGGTGGCAGCACGCACCGTCATATGTGGGGAAGTCCAGCTCGGTCCCCGGCTTCCCTGTGCATGCCGGGCACACACGTGTGACTAGCTGAGGGTATCTGTCTCTCTATCTCTGGCTCTCTTTCTGTCTTTCCCTCTTTCTCTCACTCATGGACAAAATAAATAAACTTTAAAAATATAGGATATCCAGTCAAATCTGAATTTCAGAGCTATGATCAATTTTTTAGCATATCCCAAATATTGTACTGCAACTCTACTTTGGGGAGGTTTTGGGGGCACCGAGCTCGGGTGCTGTAGGGTGCGACCTCAATCTGACCCTGCCTTTTGGATGCTGAGCCTGAGCCCAGTTTCCAGGGGACACAGATGCGGAGGGGTCAGGCGGCAGGGCTGAGAAGGGATACGTGGAGCCTGGGTGCTCCCAACCCTGCAGGACACTGCTCCCCAAAGGCCTGGGGAGAGGGAGGTGGCCCCAGCTTCCCTCCCAAAGCTGAGGTGCAGGGCGGTTGGGAGGAGCCAGAAAGTGAAGACATGGAGTCCAGCCGTCCGACTGAACTTGTGCAGTGGTGGGTGGAGCGGCCTCTGCGAACCCCTTACAAGGGTCTCCCATAAAGCCAGCCCAGATGGCATCCTCCTTGGCCCCCAAGCAGGTCTCCTGTTTCCCCAAGTCATCCTGTCTGTCCCTTTCCAGCCAAAGTCCGCTCTCAGAGCGTGCAGTGGGCCTCCTGTCTTTTGCCCAGGAAGGCTGAGCTCCGCCCAGCCCAGACCACTCAGCCTGAGGGCCAGGGCTGCAGGGTTGCTCCTCTGTCTGTCCACGGTCCACGGTCCACATGGTAGTCCCTGCTGGCCAGCCCTAGAGGAAGCGCTTGTCCTCCACGTCATAGGAGTAGGGGTCCCCAGGGAAAGGCTGGGGTGGAGGCTGGTTGTAGATGCCCTGCAGGAAGATCCAGGCGGTACCCACCACCATGATGGGCGTCACCACAAACAGGCAGAGGCGGTCCACTGTGCGGGCCACCAAGTTCCAGCTGTCCTTCTCCTGGGGTGGGAGGGGGACAGAGGCAGTGAGTGAGAAAGCCCCGTGGGCTACAGACCCACACCCCAGAGCTGGGGCTCAGCCTGTCTGTGGGGGCTGCCTCAGGCTTGCAGCAGACAGACGTGCTGGCAGGCCCTCACCAGGGCCCAGCTCTGGCTGCAGTTGGGGCTGGTCACTCTCTCTGGGGGTCAGGGAACAGGGCTGCAGCCTCCCTCCCCACTGTACTCCAGGGGGCAGGGAGCTGGAGAGGAGCTGGGTTCAGGGATTGCTCTCACGCGGCCGGGAAGGAGGACAGGCCCCTCTCCTCTCTCACTCCCCCAGCCACTCACCACTGCTGTTAGCACATACATGAGCTGAAGAAAAAGAACCCTTTCTCAAGAGGACTTTTTTTTTTTTTTAGAGATTTTTTGCTATAGGGCGTGTGATCTCACAGGAGTGACAGAGACAGACAGAGAGACACAAAGTGAGAAATCAACCCCCAGGATAGATGGCCACACTGCAATCCCTTCTCCAATCCCTGTGGAGGGCACTGCATACGGAAGCGGCCCTTCAGCTATCAACCCCGCCATCTTGAGCTATCCACCATCTTGGAAATCATTAGGCTTCACTTCCTCACTATCTAGGGAAATAAGATCCTCTCCCTGTTCTTTTTCAATTTTAGAATCCTTGGTTAGATCTGAGGTGGCGGATAGCTCAAGATGGCTTCCGTATGCAGTGCCCTCCACAAATCCCTTCTCCTTCATTCTCCTCTTGGGATCTTAGGCACGCATGCACACAAGCCCAGCGTGAGGTTTAAGCCACTGGGTCCAGGACTCGAACTGTAGTCAACCACGTGGCAGTTCAGCCACACAACCATTACGCCATCTGCTGGTCCCTCTCAAGGGGGAATTTAAAAAAGGATAGGTCACCATAAATGGCTACCTTTCCAGGGCCTGGCTGTCGAGTGTCAGGCTTAGAGTTGAACAAATGATTGGCAGCCGGGCGAGAAAAGGGCCCCTAAGGGCTGCCCCGAGTGTGACCTGTGACCTGGACAGAGCGGGGCTATGGGCCTGGGTGTCCCGTGTGCGTGCCTGGTCTAGTGTGCTGCTGGGAGTCGAGTCGGCACCCACCAGGAGCCCCCTCACCTAAGCTGACTGGTGTCTCGAGGAACTGTGTCCCCTAACAGAGGGTACACCGATCCATGCCCTGCTTGAACACCCGCACAGGCAGCCCCACGGCCACTCACATCGTTGTAGCTGTTCTGGTCCCTCATGTGATTGACAATGAAGTTTGCCCCGTCCACTGCTGGCTTCAGCTCGCTCAACAGTTCCTGCTGGGCCTGCTCGGAGCTTGCCGGGGGCCGGCCTGTGGAGGCAGGATCAGACGGGGCTATGAGGCCTGCCCCAACCACCTCCCACGGATGGGCCTAACCCCAAACCCAGGGGGGGACCCACGTGCACTAGTGAGGCGCCGGGCCAGCCCGTGCCGCTCCGACTGCTTTTCGAACATGAGGTCACTGCGAGACTTGAGCGAGAAGTACTCCTCGGCCTTGGAGATGTAGCCCAGGGAGCTGCTCCTCCGGACCAGGGTGCCGGGGCTGGGCCCGTCCTCTGCAGGGCGGGACATGTGCAGGAGCTCGGGCAGGGTCTCCAGGAAGAGCTGTGGCAGGGCCCGGGGGCCACGAGAAAGGCCATCTTAGCAAACACGGGTGACTTCTACACACCCTACCGTCTGTGACTCCATTCCTGGCTGCTGCCAAGGGCTCGCGTCTGACCGTGTCATTGGTGGACACTTAGGTTACACCCGACACGCCCCATTACTCACAGCACAGAGCAGAGCGTATTCATTGAACACGAACATTCAGAACCAAAATGGTACATGCCAAATCCTCAGTGCTCCCCTCAAATGCGTCAAGACTGGAACTAATAGATGACTACGTCGCTGGACTCCCATGTAGTCGACCGCGGTTCGTGTCCCGGAGCCGGTGGCTTAAACTCACACCGGGCACGTGTGTGTGCGTGCCCAAGATCCCAAGAGGAGAATGGAGGAGAAGGGATTGTGGCGTGACCATCCCCCCTGGAGGGTGATTTCTCACTTTCTGCCTTTCTGTCTCTCTCTGTCATTCTGGCTAAAGCATACGCTCTATAGCAAAAATCTCTCTCCAAAAAAAAAAAAAAAGCATCAAAACAAAAAGCATTGCTAACATGCCCCAGGCTGTCCCGGAACAGCCAGCAGGCCCACTGTGGCCAAGAGGTGAGGACACGCTGAGCACCCCTTGATCCTCACAGTTACCCTCTTAATGGAGGTACACTGGACACATAGGACGCACATCCTAAGTGCGTAGCTAATGAATTTTTGTGGGTGCTTTCCAGCTGGCATGGCCACCCAGAGCAATTAGGAAACATTACGTAGGAGCTTGCCTCGGGGTAATGCCAAGGCGGCCACCCCCACAATCCCCCCGCCACTTCATCATGAGGTTGGTTTTGGCCACTCTGGAACTTCGTGAGGAAGAGGGGCTGAAGCAGGTGCCTCGTGTCTGGCTCCTTCCAGCACCATTCGAGGGGCTGAGGCTCTTTGGCGGGGCCTGCAGCAGCGGCCGGTGCGTCCAACGGCCAAGTGGTACCCCGTGAGCACACCAGTGTCTCCGCCTGTCCTCCTGTTTTTGGTTATTACAAGTGCTCACCTTCTTTTTTTTATAAAAATTTTTTTGCTATAGGGCATGTTCACTCTCTGGAAAGAGACAGAGAGAGAGGGAAAGTAAGAAAGCATCCTCCAGTGCAGATGGCCATGCCACAATTCCTTCTCTTCCAGTCTCTTTTTGGGATTTTGGGCATGCACACACATGTACTTAGCATGATTTCCAAGCCCCAGATCTGGGACTCGAACTGCAGAGTCATCTATATGGGATCCAGCCGCCTTAACCCTGCGCCACATGCTGGCCCAGTGCTCACCTTCTTTACGCCCTCAGACAGCACGTGGGTGCTGGGAGTCCGGAAGTGGATGTTGAGCACGATGACACAGATCACCACGACCATGGTGACCAGCACCATGCCGAAGAGCAGGAACCTGTGGACACACGCTCAGCCTGGAGCCCCGGGGCGGGCGGCGGGGAGGAGGGCAGGGCTGGCACGGGCACTCACTTGCCGATGAGGGGGACGGCCATGGATGTGGCGGGCAGCCGCTTGGAGATGAGCAGCAGGAAGACAGACTGGGCCAGGAGCACCGAGATGGCCACTGACGTCTTCTCGCCGCCTGGGGGAGCGGGACTTGGCTGTCACCTGGGGCCCCAGGCCCAGGGGTTCCTGCTGTGCCCTCTGCTACCACTGTTCATGATGCCACGGTGCCTGGGTGAGACTCCAGAGAGCTGGAGTGCCTGAGTTCACATCCCAGGTCTGCCACCTGCCGCTGGGTGTCCGCAGGCAAGCAGATGACTTCTCTGCATCTCAGCAGGTGAGTGTGTGAGCGTGTGTTCAACACATGACGCTGTCTGCACACAGGCTGCCACCGTTAGGCCACCCCTGCTCGCCTGCTTTCTGCAGCACAGATCTGCACAGTCCCTGCCCCGCTCAGAACGCTCCGGGGCCCTCACGCAGTAGGGTGACACCTGCCTCTGACTCCTCACTCAGACCCGGCCCAGCCCCACCCTGCTCTTGCCGCCTGAGCGCCTGCAGGTGAGGGGGGCACTGGGGGCTCCCCAATGTGGGTGCCCCTGTCCAGCCCCTCCTCCCAGTCCTTCCTGCCTGACACAGTCCCATCCATGCGTCACAACCCGTTCAAGGCCCTCCAGGAAACCCCCATCCCCACTTAGCTAGAATGCCCCCCAACCCCAGCACCCAGGGCCGGGGGGCTGGGTCCCCTGATCAAGGCGAATGTTCTCAAGTTGGAGAACCATAGCTCCTGGGGTCCAGTGAGCTCAGCCTGACTTCGTCCCCGCACCCCTCGGCTTCCCAGAGACCGCTCTATCTACCCAGTGCCTCGAGAGGTGCTGTCCTCCTGTGCGCCAGGCCCACGGCCACAGGGGTGACCCTGACAGGCCCAGGCTCTGCTCTAATGAGGGGAAGACCAGCCTTTCTCCCTAGAGTCCTGGGGAAGCCCCTGTGAGAGGCAGAAGTTGTGTCCACTCAGGGCCGTGGGACTCGGTTGTAGAGCTGTCCCCCTGCCTGGCCACCTGGTCCTCACGCCCGGGTCCGGGGCAGGGAGCTCCCAGAGCGGGGACCGCTGTGGCAGGAGGAAGGCAGGGTGGAGCAGTGGGCAGTGGTCGCAGGGTGGGGCTTACTGTCAGCCGGCAGGTAGAAGACCAGGTTGACCATGAAGGAGATGAGCACGCAGGGCACCAGGATGTTGATGACGTAGAAGAGAGGCTTGCGGCGGATGATGAGGTAGAAGGTGACATCCTGGTGGCCGGGGCTGTCCAGGGGGATGCTGGGATCCACGTTCACCCGGGCCGGCCGGTGCACTATCTCCCACTCCCCGTTCTCTGCAGGAGACACGTGGACATCTTGGGTTGAGCCAGGCGGGGGGAGGCGGGAGGCCATGGGACATGAGGGGCAGGGATAGACCAGGGGGTGGTAGGGCCTGTCTGCGGCCCCTGGGGTCGGGGGTCACAGGCTGTCCTGGTGGGTATCTTTCCCAGGGTGGGGACAGAAGTTCTGATCGGGGGAGAGATTCTCTCTAATTCCACGTTCTCTCACTGGAAAAAAATAGGAGCTGAGGCCGCACAGGGCCGCGATGCGGAATGTGCTTCTACTCAGGAGACAGGAGGCATCCCAGGCCAGAAATAGACTGTGTGGATTAAAGAGCAGGAGCCAGACAGCTGTCCTGTGTTACCGAGGTCCATTCCAAGCTAAGTCCACAACGGTCCTGGGACAGGGGCCCGCAGAGTAACATTAACCCTGCACACCCCACGTACCAGCCTCAACACCAGCGGACCAGTGATTTCTTCCGGCCCATGGGGCAGTGGTGGACCTGAGATCTGAACCCAGGCACAGATGGGGTATGGGGTGGGAGGTGTGACACAACCCCTCAGGAGGACTCAGGCCACACCCAGCCACACCCCTGGGCCCTCTGGGCACAGCCCCTCCTCTGCCAGAAACACTCACACCTGGGGAGAGGGTGAGCCAGGCCTGTGAGCCCTCTGGGTGGGTGTGTGAGTGGCTGCAGGGCCCAGGAGCAGCGTCCCAGGCTCCTTTGGGATGGAGGTGTGAGACGGGGCGTGTGTACCCCTGGGTGTGCCTGAGCCCCCCAGGGGCTCCGTGCACCTGTGAAGCCCTCAGGGTCAATGATGATCCACTCCACGGGGTAGGTGAGGTTCTGCTTCTCCTCCACTTCCTGCTTCAGGCTCAGGGTGACCTCCTTGGCTGTGTACTTGAGTGAACTGGGGAGGGAGGGGAGGCAGTGACCCTCGGCCAGTACAGGGGGCTCTAACTGGGACAGGGCAGGGCCTCTGCCTGGGGCACACCTGAACTTGAGGGAGCAGTTCTGCCAGTCGAAGGGGAAGTAGGTGACGGAGATGGGGCAGGAGGAGCGGAAGATGGCGGGCGGCAGCCAGTACACACTGCCCGTGTCCGAGAGGAGCACGTTGCAGGAGTAGGAGATCTGGAAGGAGCCGTCGTTGCTGCGGGCGGGGAAGAACCCAGGTGAGCACCAGCTCTGAGACGGCGGGGCAGGGCTGGGCAGGGAAGGCAGGGGAAGGGAGGCGCAGTGTCGGGGTAGGGAGGGTCACTCGGCTCAACTTGTTCTCCAGCACGATCTCTGGGAGCCACAGCATGTCAGGGGGCAGGCGCAAGACGGTGATGTTCCCAAATTCCGAGGCATCCCACTGCAGCCGGCTGTCCGTCCAGCCCTGGGAGCCCAAGAGGCATGTCAGCAGTGGACTGCGCTGTAGTCCAGGCCCCCCATCGCCCCTCACGTTGCTGGAGGAATCTGGACAGGGTTTGGGAGCTGTGGCTAAGGCGGACTCAGAGTAGGGGCCAGGTCTGTCATGGACAGCCGTGTGGGAAGCACACTGAGCAACCAAGAGCACTTTTTTTCCTATTGTGAATGTGGACGATTTGCGTCTGTGTTATGAACTTCTGACAGGTGGCGTCTCTAATAAAAATCAGGATAGCGCGCAGCTTGAATCCCGGACCCAGTGGCTTGAAAGTCACGCCCAGCGTGTGTGCGTGTGTGCGTGCGTGCGTGCCCCAGATCCAGGAGGGGAAGAAATTGCAGTGTGGCCATACCCACTGGGTGAGGGTGATTTCTCACCTTCCCTCTCACTGTCTCTGTCTCTCTCTTTCTCTCTGGTGAGCGCACACACCCTAAGGCAAAAACCTCTTAAAGGCACAGTGACAGTTTTCACACAAATAAATCCGAATCAACTTCATGATGTCATCAGGACCTGCAGAGGCACTAGTGGGGTGGTGGGAGGGCATTTGGGCTTGGGGTTTCTCTAGGTAGTAGCCAAGGCAGGCTGGGTGCCCCCGACGGGAAGCGAGCACGGGGAGCTGGGCGGCACCCCCCTGCGCGGAGTGAGAGGTCTCTTACATGCTCTATCCACACATTGGTGGTGAGGGTCTCCTCGACTTCTTTCTGGAAGCAGACAGGAGGACCGTCCCAGGTGCCTGCTCCTGGCTGGCACCAGGGAAAACATGGCCCTGGCACCCAGCCTCCTGCCCCAGCACTGTCAGGAGAGCTGGGCAGAGCAGGGAGCAGAGAGGGTACAGGGCCTTGGCGGGAGCCATAGGTGGGGTGGGGACCCGCCAGAGCGAGGCCAGGGGAAGGGCCCCCCCACCTAGGAGGGCTGGAGGGCTGGGGGCAGTGCGGGCCCGCTGTGTGTGGAACGCCCGCACAGCCATCGTGTCCTGGAGAGGCTGACCCCCTCCCCAGCCGCCGGGGCCCTCACCAGGGAGATGAGGTTGGACAGGGTGAGGGCCAGCGAGACGTTCACGCTGTCCTCCTTGTGTGCCACCGGCCGCAGCTGCTTGTCATAGCCCTTCTCCTTGAACAGGTGCCGGATCAGCCGCCCCTCCTCGTTGAGCCCCCAACCGCCTGAGCAGAGTCAGGGACAGAACGGCCACTGGGCAGGGAACCCAGGGAAGAGGCTGCCCCTGGAGGCCGGGCAGGCCCTGGGGCAAGGGACCCTCCCAGGGAAGGAGGGCAGAGTGGAGTGGAAGTCGGGCATGACTCCAGGGAAGAATCGTGAAGGGATGGAGTGGGCAAGCAGTGGGGGCCGGTGGGCGTCAGGAGGATGCCCCGGAGTGGGGGTGATGTCCAGCCTTACCCCACACGCCCAGCGTGGCCAGCAGCCCCAGCGTCAGCATAGGTGCCTCCATTCTGTCCCTCTGCCTGGTTCAGCATCCGCCCCTCCTGTCTACTGGACTGTCTGGAATGGGGGGAAGGGGAGACAGGTGCAGTGTGGGGGTGGGGGGAAAGGAAGAGGCTGCCGGAAATGCAACCTGACACCCCAAGCAGGGACGAGGAGGGTGGGACTTGCCAGCAGGGAAGGAGCCAAGGACTGAGACAAAGATCCCAGGCTGGGGCTTCCCAGCTGGCGGGGGGGGTGGGCACTGGGTTCTAGGGCACTGGCCAGCCATGGGGGGGGGCAGGGGGACAGGCAGGCCAGCTGCTGCCATTTCTTGGGAAGCAGAGGATATGTGGGGAGGACAGGGGCTGGCAGCCCCTCTGCAGCTGCTCTGTAAGCTCTGCCTGCTGCTTGTGTGGCTGGGTCCTGCTGGGGCCACCCGGGAATCTGACACCCACCCACCAGTTCCCACCCCAAGGAAGCTTCAGAGTCATCTTTGAGAGTGATAAATAACATTTATTAAAGCAGCTGTGATCCTCAGTCACACACCTGGGAAGACACACGGGGCCCAGGACCCCCCACCCACCCACACAGCCCAGCCAGCGATGACCACCGTCAGTCTCTGAACCTCTCTTTTCTTAGAGAGATTTTTGTTATGGTGCGTGCGCTCACCGGAGAGACAGACAGAAAGCAAGAAAACACCCTCCAGGGGACAGCCACACCGCAATTCCCGCTCCTCCGTCCTCCTCTAGGAATCTTGGGCACACATGAACATGCCCTGGCATTTATTTTAAGCTACCAGGACCAGGACTCGAACTGTGGTCAACCACGTCGGAGTCCAGCGACGTAACCATTATGCCATCTGCTGGTCTCAGTCTCTGGGCCTTTCTGAGCCCCAGGAGCACACCAGGAGCTGGGGCCCAGGACCCCAGCCCAGCCCACCCACACACCCCAGCCAGTCTCGGCAGGGCACACAGCCATCATAGTCTCTGGGTCTCTCTGAGCCTTGGGAGCACACCAGGAGCTGGGGCCCAGGACCCCTGCCCAGCCCACCCACACACCCCTGCCAGTCTCAGCAGGGTGCACTGCCATCATAGTCTCTGGGCCTCTCCGAGCCCTGGGAGCACACCAGGAGCTGGGCCCAGACACAGCTCATGGCTGCTGGGCTGGGAGAGCCTGAGGACTGAGCAGGTGGTGCTCCTTCCTTTCCGGCTCTGTCCCTGAGTCCACCTGGGGTCCCTCAGGCTCTCCCTCTGCCAGGGCGTCCAAGCGGAAGGCCTGCAGGGCCTGCACCAGCATCCGGGGTAGGCTTCGAGCCAGTGTGACGGGTTCCAGGCCCACCAGGCTGCTGAAGACCAGGCGCCGGCCCCCCAGGCCTGCCCGAACCCAGGCTCTGAAGAGACCGGTCAGTGTCTTAGAGCTCAGATCTGCGAGGACCTGCAGAGAGAGGAGAGGATCAGGCCCCAGAAACTCCCCTCTGGGTGGGAATCCTGGAGGCTAGCCCTCTCCTCCTGGACCCCACCTCCTCCCCTGTCCCCCACCTGCTCATTTCCTGTCACTGGACACTCCCACCAGCTCCCCACCCAGTCCTCTCCTGGCCTCTCTCCAGGCAAAGCCATGCCTCAGTCCCCTCATACATGCATCTACTCTCAGCTCCTACCTCTGCCCCACCTCCCATGGGGGCAGAGGCAACCCCTGGCTGCTTGGGGATGGCCTCCCTTCCTGCAGGAGGGCGAGGCCCCTGTCCTCCATCCATCAGGCTGGACGGGTTGCACCTTCCCAGGCCACCGAGGAGAGACCTGGGAAGCTGGGACCTACCTCCTGGAAATTCATGGCCAGGTGCTCCGAGGGCACCTGCAGGATCCAGGCATGGGTCCTTTGAAGGGTGGCCAACCTCTGCCGCAGCGGCTCCAGCCCAGGACAGCCTGCAGGAAGGGGAGAGGCCCAAATCACAGGGAGCTGACGCCCAATAGGCCGAGCAATCCTCCTCAAGCTGTAGATGGGGAAGGAAACTGAGGTCTGGCAGGGTTAAGGGGTAACACAGGGCCAAGTATCTCTGCTTCCCAGCGATGAGGGCCTAAAGCCACAGGTCCCGCTGAAGAGTCTAGCTCTACTGGGGGGCGTGGGGGAAGAACGGAGCTGCCCTGTTGCTTGGGATAACTGTTTCCTAGAACAGACCCTGGGATGAGCCCCTCCAAGCTTTGGCTAGCTCTGAGACCTAATTCCTCCCGCGGGCCGGCAGGGGGCGTCATTACCGTTCGCCTCCCGCCGTTGTTCCAGCCTCGGCTTGGAGAACTTCGTGTCTGCAACTCGCAATCCTGGGAAGCGCGGAGTTAGGAGAAAAAGTGTCTTCTCCGTGTAGGGGTGGGGCCGAGGCCCGGTCGGGGCTGGGGTGGGTAGAGGGACCGGGTACCTGAGTGCAGCCGCTGCTCGCGGGCGGGATGTCCGGGAGGGTATCGGAGCGACCGAGCAGGGGGAGCCAGGACCGGAGCCAGGTGCCGAAACCCCGGGCCCGAGCCCAGCAGCTCCTGTGCACCCCGCAGCAGGCCCAGCAGCGTGTGCGCCAGGGAACGCAGCTCTGCGGGG